ACACGTGAAGAGGAGGATGTGAAGAACAGCATCCAGATCCCAATGACCTGTTAATGGTTCAGAACAAAGGCACAGTTCACACTTCATGTGAAGTATATCCAGGAAACCAACCTGGCTGATAGAAAACAGGGGAATTTAATACCTGCAATTTCCTGTGCATGCAAGAAGAGGTTGAGTGCCAGCAATACTACAAGCTGCTGAGGAACCAAAAGACTGTAAGGAAAAGCTCAAATCCTAAAGTAAGCCAACCACTCCCCTGGATCAAAAGCACCTTGTATTAGCAAGGTCACATGCTAAAAGTCATCAGATACTGAAAGGGTACAAGCTATTAACACTCCCGTTTGCTGTTCTGGAACACAGGAATCCTAAAGACTGATTGTGACACAGGCACTTACCAGGATTAAGTCTGTTTAAAACTCTTTATAATACCTGCAGTATGCTGTGTGGCTTACACAGTAGCAACATGTACACACTTGTCACAGCACTCAGCAATTTAATGTACTTTATTTGTTTCTTTACTTCTCTTTTACAACCCAGAAATGAAATTGAAAGGACTGAAGTTTTCCTCAGCCCATTTGCAACACTTGGCAAGCAGGAAAGGGAACCAAACAAGAGGCAGAACACTCTATCACAGGCATTTCAAGGCAGAGCCATAGTCATCTGCACTGACCACCTTACAGCACTGTGAAGACCCGAAAGGATTAAGAGCAGTTTACTTGATAAGGCGAGTCCAAACTCCTGCTCTGCTCCAGTTCCCACAAGAACATGGGTTTCTCCTGAACCCAGTCCAGGACGCTGCTTACAGGCCCCTTGTCAGGGCTCTAACATTGGTTTTATACAGTCACCTTCCACAGGCCAGTTTAAAAGAATATTAGATTTCAAATCTAATGTGTTTCCAGTCCCATTCATTCTGCCATCAATTCCAACTACTTCACCTGTATACTCTTTCACAACTGCATTAGACAGAACAAGTGTAGATTTAACTCAGCGATTTTTTTCTATGCATTAACAGAAAATGGAATTAAGTGGAGGGTTCTGTGTGCCCTCATGTCTCAAAAGCAGCCCAGCTGCAAGAAAAATAATAAAACTGGGGCTGAACAGGTGACTGAATCTTGTAGAATTAAGCTGGCTTTAAAAATTGTCAAGAAATTCCCCAAAATTGGTTCATTCTATTAACGGAATAAAAGGCTGAAAAGAAAGATACCCCGGGCAGGCTACGGGTTAAGAGTCTCTGCAGGAAATACAGCAGAGCTGTAAGAAAAGAAAAGAAATAATTATTATAAAAGAAAATAAATACCAGCCTAAAGATAAAGAGCAACTTCTTTTTGCTTTGAATACACATAACCTTCGTGTCACAGTTTAAGGCTCCCCTCTAACCAAGGGCAGTTTGGTTTATTTGCTCGGAACGGGGACACCGACGTGCATTTCACTGCAAAGGCGGGTCCACTTCGCACCCCCCTGGGCCTGGCTTCCCACCGCCGGTCAGGGCTGTCACGCTGTGCCCGGACTGCGACACACGCCCGCCCAGGCCAGGCCAGCCCCGCGGCCGCTGGAGCCCCTATTCCTCCCGCGGGGTCGCCGCCCTGGAGCCCAGCGCAAGAACCGGCAGTACCAGGCCGCGCCGGGGCCCTCGGCAGAGGCAGCGCTACGGGCGCAGGTGTCCCCGCGGCGCACAGCGCAGCCGCCCGCTCCGCCGAGCTCTTCCTGCGGCGCCGAGTCCCCCTTCTGCCGGTTCCCGCAACTCCGCGCCGGGGCCAAGCCGCCCCGGCCTCCTCCCGCCGCCATTTTCTTCGCGGCGGCTCCTCACAGGAGCCTGCGCAGGGCGGGGGCGGGGGCACGGCTCCGCTCCTCGGCGGAGCGCGGCGCCTGCGGCTTGGCCCGCGGCGGTCCGGCCTGGCTCCGCTGCACATCCCCCTTCCCCGGGGCCGACCCCACCGCCCCCCGCCCGCCCCGGGGCCGGCACTTACGCGGAAGAACCCCGCGTCCATCTTGCCTCCTCCGCCTCCTCCGGCCGCGCGCGCTGCACGTCCCGGCGTGCCCCGCGCGCTGCACGCCCCTACGCACGCTCGGCGCTCGGGGAGGGGAGGGGCCGGGGCGGGAGGGCGGGGCCGGGCGCTCCGCAGAGGCTCTCCGCGCCTCCCGATTGGCTCCCACTGCCGCGGAGGGCCGGAGCGCGCGCGGAGGACGACCAATCAGAAGGAGCGACGTTCCGCCGGGGTGAAGGGGCGGCTGCGAGACGTCCTCGCGCGGGCGGGGGGGGGGGGAGGGAGACGTGAGCCTTCCTCTCGCGAGATGTTGCCGGCCCGGGGCGCGCGCGAGTGGCGCGGGTCAGGTGACCTCGCGGCCGGTGGCGCACGCGCGGAGGGTAAAGGAGGGAGGCGGTCGTGAGGTAGCGCGTGAGGGTGGGTGTTCGTGCCGGGGTTAAATAAGTAATTAACGGGGAGTTAATGAAGGTTTGTCCGCAGTAACGGCCCGGGGGGCTGTGTGAAATAAGCTATAGTTCAAAAGGAAACGTTGGGTTTCTCGCTACGAAGTGAGGTTTGACAGCGCGCGGCTCTGCAGGCGCTCGGTAGTGCCGCACCACGGCTCCTGGAGAACCAAGTGCTTGTGGGACGGGAAGGAGCCGGGGAGAACGAGTCCATCCGCCCAGAGCGGGTGTCGCTGTGCAGTCGGCAGCGGCACCGGGGGGACTGCAGGGCGAGGCGAGCGGCAGCCGGAGCGGACGCGAGGTGGAGCTGCGGGCTCGGCCCAGCGCAGCGGCCGGAGCGGGGGGTGACGGCAGCAGCGAGAGGTGGGAACGCTTTAGCCGTGGGCTTGGGGGAGGGAGTTGCGCGGGCCTGCGAGAGGACTTCCAGATGGAAAGAATGAAGAAAACCCACGGTAATCCTTGCACGACCCAGCACAGACCCCTCCCGACTGTGCCCTTAGGGAAACGTGCTGTCATTATTTATATGCCCACCTGTGCCCATTGTCTGCTGAATACAGCCCCGCCGGGGTGTTGTAAAGAGACATACTTGACCAGAGCACACAGGAAGCCTGTGTATCATAGAATCAGCTCGGTTGGAAAAGACCTTTAAGATGAAGTCCAAACTGTACCCCAGGACTGCCAAGATCATGTCACTACACTGCCAAGCAGAAGGGTGCTTTGGTGCCTCTAACTGATCAGCTTTGTATTAGTTTGCAGGGCTTCGTGGACCATCTCTAATGAGTTTGAATCACAAGTGAGCATTCCACTTGCTTTGCCTGTTCTCTCCAAAGGCTTTCAGAGTCTTGGATGTCTCTAATAGACCAATTTGGTATTGGCTTTCAGGTGCTTTTGTTAGCTTGGGGTTTTCTAAGCAGCAGGTTTACCTGATAGCAACTCAGGGCAGGTTTGAAAGTGGGAGCTGGGTAACTGGACAGGGCAGGTGGAATTGGCACTGGAACAGTACTGTAGGACAAGGGCAGTGTGGGACCGTGCCTGGAAAACTGTTCTGTCCACAACAAGCTGCACAAGTGTTAAGTGGCAGCGCAGTGGGAACAGAGTGAGTTCTGTTTCTTAAGAAGGTGATTCTGCCTGGTCAGCACAGCTCTGGGTTTTGCTGGCAGGAGGGAGGATGGATCCGTGGGGCCTCCCTGGCTGTGCCAGGATGAGGCAAATTTCACTGGTAAAACAGCACACTTTTGAGTTGTTCAGATTGAGCCACCCTAGTGTGGCCAAAGCAGTAACGCTGCCAATTATTATTATTACAAGTAATCCTACCAGTCCAGAATTGCTGTAGCACTGCTTATTCTGCTGCAGTGAAGCAAAAAGTGCTTCCCTGTGCTTAAATTCTGTCAATGGAAAGTAACCAAAATTTGCTAGAAGTAGCCCTGGCTGGTAACATTAAAAATACCTCTAAGATGGGGCTTATGTTTCCTAAAGATCGTGGCTTTGAGAAGTGAAACATGCTCAGGCAACATCCTCAGCTGCCCAGAGACAGAAAGAGGAGGCCGACTCCAAGTTAGAGAACTAGGACAAGTGAAATATTTACAACAAACAGCTGTCTTAATATTTAGTTTGGAATTCAAACTGTGCTCCAGTTTCATACAAAAAACAAAAAGCAAAGTAATCGAATTCAGTTTCTGCACAAAAACACCAGTTAGTAAAGATGACCTGGTCGAGGTCAGCCTCACGTTGGAAGTTCTTGGGGATACATACTGTTAGAAAATGGTCACTCCTTTCTCTACAGCTCCCCAGAAAGAGGTAAAATGCCCCACTTCAGCTTCTTCCCAGTCCTCCCTGCCTCAGGGCTGCTTGGGACCATCGCCACTCCACATCTGACAATGCTGCAGTGTGTTGGCACTCTGTGGGCTGTGAAGGTCCTTGGGAATGTCTTTGTTGCATTACTGCACACCCACAGTCATCACACTTGCAAAACAACATCACTGGCAGTTATTTTCTAGAAGAAAAAATACCTAAAAATAGTTCAAGCCTGGTCTGTGTTGGAGAACGAAGCGCCTCAGGACACGGGTTGTGCAGATGAAGCCTTGGTGCTTTCGCTGCCTTTCTGTGTTCACTTCTGCAGTTAAAGGGTTTGTGTACAACAAAACATTTGATAGTGAACCAAAAGCAATTCCCCATGTGAGAGTGAAAACACCGAGACACCGAGTCCATTTGGAAGGGAAAGGTTACCAACAGCAAAGAAATGCTTTTAAATACTTGAAAATAAAAAGTCCCTTTTTTATGTCAAACCATACATGCGTGGTGTTAGAAAAACAGAAGGTAAGGATAAATACAGGTTTGATACTTCCTGTACCATCCATCATGTATAACCGAGGCTACAAACCCACTTCACATAAATCAACCCAGGTTCATGTCCAAAGGTTTCTTCCCATTTATCATCAGTCTTTGTAAAACACAAAAAGCTCCACAGAAGAGTGCCCATCTTCTGCTCCTCAGTATGTTTGGTCCCTCACGCCCAGAGCTCTGTGAGGCAGCTCGCTGCGTTGCTGGTGATTCACATGCCTCCACCACTTGATTTCAGTCACAGGGGAAACATCCAGACCCTTTATTTCTCCTCTCAAAGACAGGAAGTGGGATTAATTACAATCTGTAGACAGAGTAACAGCTCCAAATGCAGATTCACTTTGCTGAGGAGTCCCAGATCCACACAAATGAGAATTCCACCGCTCTGCTCACGGGGAGGACAAGTGTTCCCAGTTACCTGTTCTGCATGTGGATATCCACAGGTATGAAGGTCACTGTGGGATGCTGAGGCAGGCTGTGGCTGGGCTGCCCTAATGCAGGTGACATTGCTGCTTTGGTGGGTTTGGGCTCCAGCTCCCGTTTCACTCTCATGCGTCTGTAAAGGCAAAAATGAGATGGTCACTAGAGCTGGTAAGTCTTGGGAAGACTGCTGCGGAAGCAGGTTACATCAAACAGCTTCTTAAAAGTCAATACAAGACAGGATTTCATCCCAAAGATACTAAATGGCAACTCAGGGCTCCTAGAGCATGTAAGTGTAACCCAGCACCCTGAAAAGTGCAAAATCAAGCTCCTCTGGCAGCCACGATGCACACCAGAATGCTCCCTTGTGTCAACAGGGACCTCTAGGAACAGCTTCCATCCAGCATCCTCCATCACGAATCTCCTCCCGCTTCCCAGCACTTCAGTCACAGAACAGCAGCAGGGAGAGGAAGGGATTTCAGTCAAGTTAGCTTAGCATCTCCTGGAAACTTGCAGCAACCAATACTGAAATGGTCCATTAGGTGAAAGCACACTCAGCAGTGACCTTGGTTCATCCTTTCTCACCTTAGTGAAGTACAGAGCTTGGCACATACCTGTTGTATGTTTTCAGTATGAGCAGAACCACTGTAAAAATGATAATCACTCCTACTACAATGGCAGCAACTATGGCTCCAGAGCCTGGCAGGGAAGCAGAAAGGGAAAGAAGCCTTATGTACAAAGTTGTCATTGTACGGTTTGAAGTTTGCGAAGTTCAAGGTCCACTTAAAATAAGGCAAACACAGCCACCTCCCCAGTGTGTTTCTTACTTTGATAGAGGCTTTGTTCTTGAGACTTTGTGGTCACGTTTACTGAGAGCTGGGTGTTATTGACCAGTGGTGCGGCTGTCGTCATCTTGAGTCAGCTGCAGGAGGGAAAAAGAAGAGTGAGTTCATAAAACATTAACCAGCATTTGACAGTGATAATTAGGCAACACTCCATCAAAGATTCAGGGCCACTGAGTGCGCAGTCACTGGACTGGGGTTCTTCAGATTTCCTTCGAGGTGAAAATCTGGCTCTGCTGAAATCAGTGGTGGCTTTGCTACAACCTAGTCTGGAGCAACTTGCCTTAAAGCACACACTGCTTGGAATTAGTAGGCTAAAATAAGATACAAACTCACTTATGCATTGTTATCTATATATTATTGCTGTTATACAAGCTTTGGGTAAATATGTATTTTAAATGCTTTAGGATTTCAGATTATCATTTCAGGTTGAGATTCAAATCATTGCACAAGTGAAGTGAACAATTCAGTATTCAGTAACATGTCTTTAAGTAAAGGAGCCTGCAGTTAAAGGATTAAAAACTCCTTTATAGAATAGAATTAAGTAGTTTCAAGCATCTAACCTGAAGAAGAAAAACCATTTAACCCCTAACTGGAAGTTCTGAAGGTTACACGACAAACAACACTGACCCATGACAGGAAAAAAGATTGCAGTGTGACTATGATGGGAAGCTGATGCAAGTTTAACCAGTGCCTCACTCATGCCAGTGTCACCCCAGTCTGTTACTGGAAGAGGGCAAGTGCCCAAAGCTGAACCCACGTCTGCTCCTGCATCTGGGGAGGAAAAACTGCCGCTCTAGAAAGAGCAGCGTGTGTTTGCTGATTTTATAAGCGTTTTCCAAATGTTTTCTAAATGTGACCAGTAACCTGAGCCATTAAAAGCCTCCTTCAGCCTGAGAAGGGTGTGATACCACTTCAAACAGACCTCTGAAACCATTTCAGCTCCCAGCTTCAGGGAGCTAATGCGCTCAAACTCCCCATCGAAATTATTCTTCAACACCTGATACTGGAATTGAGGTTCCTTGTTTCAGATGGTGCCCAGTACAACCAGGCAGGACTCTGCCCTGCTCTGTTATGCTCTATTGGGGTACTGTGCATCTGTGGCATGTTCTTAGTGGCTTCAATTTTACACAGCACAAGAGATAGAATAGCCAGAAAATTAAATTATTAAGTGGACAGAAATCAGTCGGTAATAAAAAGAACTGGAAATTTGAAAGGGCCTTTCCCTTCCCTTCCTTTTCCCCCCCTTGAGGTTTTCCTACAGGTTTCTGCAAAGCAGCATTGATCGAACAAATCCCAGGTTGTGGCAGGCTGCAGGTCTGGGAGGGAAGGAGGACACAGCTCTGACTGCTCCTGACAGGCGAGGTTGTTTCGGGGTGGGGAGGCCGGTGGCTGAGTCAACACACGGTGTGTACTTGGGAGGCTCCTCGCAGAGAGAGGAGGAACGAGAGAGGTCAGTAACCAGCAGCAAGGGACAGGGTCAGCGCCTGCCTGGGTAGGGAGGATCCGAATTGCAAGGTCCATTCATCAAATACTTCGATCCCCTGAAGTTAAAAAGGTTCCAGGTTTTTCTTTTAATCTAAAAACCAAATTAACTCTGTTTCAAGCCTGTAACTGGGTCATTCTCCCCTGGCTGAATGATTCCTTTGTCTAGCCAAGGCCAAGTTAATCCAGCAACATGATCATCAACTGTAGTTGTAGATCTGTCCATGCTGAAAGAACTGTTTTGTCTTTAGAGTTTGCCTTTACTATACCACAGCAGAAGGATTCACACATGCCTTGGAGGAGCCTGGGCACCCGTCTGCTTCCCACCCATCCACTCAGTGCAGGTTGTACCACCGACAAGAGGAGGCTGAAGAGGCTCCATCCTGCTGCAGGCTGGGGAAACCCGAGCAAGTGTTTTGACCATAGGCATAATACAGAAAAAGCCACATCCAGCTTTTACCTTGCTGCTCCTGACTAGAAGAGCACAAATTCCAGAGTTACAGAAGGGGTTTTCTCCTCCTCTGCCTATTAGAATACCCCCCCCCCAAAAAAAAAAAAATAAGGCTGAATATTTCAATATTAAGCCATGTTGTACTCATACCTACTGCAATCTGGTTCAAACCACCCTGGTAATGGTGAGCTATTTGTGCCTGAGTCACACCTCTAACTGAAGAATTCTTGTTGTCAGTGAAACCACGCGTTACAGAAAGGATGACTTTATCTGGCAGGGTGTAACAAGTCCAGGATGTAGCTTGGAGAATGAATCAAATCTTTGGGTTTTCTGCGCTGTGCAGCAAGTCAAGAGGTCCAAGGTCTGTGTCTCAGGCTGGGGTGGGAGGCACAGGTTCCCCCTTTACCTACAGCCAGCCTCAGTTCCGCTCCCCTCCCAGCAGTCATCCAGATTACGCCTGGCCAAGCCCACGCTGTGCAACTCAAGGACCCAGCCAAGTCCACCAAACCCCCTGGGAACCCCCCAGGTTCAGGGTATTCCCAGCTGGATCCTTTGCTTAGAAAAGCATTTGGGGAATCAGGGGTGGTCACTAGAAGCTGTAGAGCAGGGGAGCAGAGGTGGACTTTGAGACAGCAACCACACCACATTCTTCCTCTCTGACACATGGCACACATTGGCCGGGGGGGTTTGAGGGCCTCCAGCTCACCCGCAGCTCTCGGGGCTGGGGGCACATTCCCGTGTTATGGAGCTGGAAACGTTTCCATAAAGTGAAGCTTTGGGCACGTTTCCATTCCAAACAGCGGGGCAGATCCACGAGAGGTTGTTTTGGCAAGCGGCAGCAATGCCCCCATTGATACACCTTGCACCTGCCCTGCCCCTGCTCACTCGCCTGGATCAGAGCTCGCCTGTCAAGCAGCTCCTGCAGTTACAGGAGAGGGGAGATGGGGAACAGAGCCTTCGGACTGAGGTTTTTGCAGGAGAGCAGGACTTTGGGAGCCAACTCCCTGCAGGAGGCAGGTGCTGGGCAGGAAGAGGCACCAGTGCTTCGCCACCTTGGAAAGGGAGGTCTGCATTGAGCTGTGTGCAGGCTTTAAACTACACAAATCAGCTGTTGTTTCCAGCAGGAATATACATGGGGTTTATCCCAGAAGCTTCACTGGAGAATTCATTCACCCTTTCAAGTGCTCTGCTGCACAGGCAGCGTTTTCTTTGTGTAGTGTGGCCAAACACAGGCTGAAAACCAAGGTGATTTTTCTCTCCTCACTCACACAGGTCTAAGGAAGAGCACTGGCTGCCAGCTCTGCCGTGCTGGGGCTCCATCCCCTTCCCAACAGTGTCAACGGGGCTGGTCTTAAATCACAAAACCCACTGAGGAATGGGACAACCAAACCCAGCTCTGGTTTGCTTGACTCCTGGGTGTCTCAGTATTCTGGCTAGGAAAGGGAATATTGTCTGGGATATTTAGACTGGGATTTGTTCCCTCAGGTCCTCTTGCAGATGTAAATGAACAAGTGCCATGTGAAAACCATCTTGCACAATCAAAAGGCCACCAAGAGCTGAGTTCACATGAACACTACCAGGGTGCTGGAGCTATGTGAGGAGGGGCAAATTGTCAGAGGTATAAAGCATTCATTTCAATAAGCAAATGCCAAAATGTCATTGAAGAAGCCCAAGAGGCAGCCGGGTCCTGTTAAATAAGGGGAAAGGACTTTGTACCACAGGAGCTGTGGGTGTCCTGGCAGGTGGCTGAATCTGATTTGTTCTCTTGCACGAATTCCACACCACAGACCCATCCCCATCCTTTATGTGGGAAGGAAGAGGCTGAGGAGTCAGCTACCACCATCCACATGAACCCTGCTGCCACGCCACAGGAGCTCTATGCTAAGGCATGTCTGCCTGAGGTCCAGTGCACACTGTCTGAGGTCCAGCTCAGCTCGCACATCAGCCTAAGCAGCAAACTCACTTCCATCCCAGGGAGGAGTTAATCCTCCTAAGGAAGCCCAGAGCTCTTCTCCCTTCAAGTAACTGAGCCCAAGCACAGGGACCTGGCCTGGGATCTGCCCCAGGCAGTGGATGGTGTTTCAGCTCCCCTCCTGCCTCACTGACATTCCCTGTCTTTGCAGCCAGATTCCCTGTTGTGTGCTTTGAACCGGTGTGTTTCATTGTGCCTGGCTGCTTCCAGCACTGAGGGACTCAATCGGGCATCCATGGCACAGCATGGGAGGGAAACAGCCTCACGATGGAGAGTCACCAACTAGGCTTCAGCTCCCGAAACCCCGTAACTCATAATCGTGGGTGCAAACAGCCTCATGGCCATGCAGCCACGTGCTTCCAGCAGCATCACGAGCCACGGGAACAGGGAACATCGCCGGGGGTAGAGGCAAGCTGTATTTTCAGAAGCAATGAACCCAGTGCTGCAGAGAGACCGGAATGTGCCTGAATTTACCTTGTGAGGCTCAAAAGAGGGAAGAAGGAGGAAAAAAAACCCTCAAGTTCAATCGGCTCCTGGGAGCTGAGGCATAGCCATGGCCTGAGGCGAACACCCGGCTCTCTGTGGAGCCTGTGTCCTATGTGTCCCCAGCTCGGACCAGCACCTATATGTGAGCGTTTGTCTCAGGTCCTGACATGAGCTCTCCAGGTTCAGCTGTTGTTAAAACACAGATTAAAAGCATTTCCTTTCCTTGCCAAGTCAGTTACACAAGCTGCAGGCAACTGCACCGTGCAGTAGCAGCACCAAGAACAAACAGCAGTCATTGTACCTGGCTACAATTACACTGAGAGGGGCTGGAACGGCTCAGCTCCTGCAGACGATGAGGACCGGGGCAGTGAAGGCAGGTCCCCAGACAGGAATGCCCCCGCTTCAAAAGCCATGCCCACAAACACGAACCAGAGAGGCTTTGTCAGAAACTTGCCCAGGAGCAAGGTCTAAACTGGGCTGGGAACTGCAGAGTTCCCAAGTCCAACTTTCTGCCTTAAAACACTGGGCCACATCCCCCCCTCCTCTCCCTCTGTGTGAATGCACTTATTCACAGGAGCTCCAGCAGCTCCACCACGACCAGCAAAGCGCATCCACACCATAAAAACACGGTGGCTCCTGCAGGGCAGGGCTGCCTCTGCAGGCAGCGCACGGAGGCAAAACAAGCCAGAGGTGTTTTCCCACTGGTTCCAGGCCAGGATCTCAGGCACACTTGGATTAGAAACCTTGTAAATGTTATGTCAGAACCAGGGTTTGAACTGGAACGGACAAACCCCACCAGGCTGCTGGAGCCCAGAGCTCAGCTGTGGCCCCCAGAGCTGCTCAGAGGGGCTGTGGATTGAGCTCCCGTGACAGGCATAGCCCAGAGGGAAGAGGGAAAACCCAGCACAACCAGCCCCTTTGGCCAGACCTATGGGAAGCTCACCTTCAAACCCACTGCTGAAACAGCACCTGTGACAAGAGAAGGAAAAAGGAGCTACCTGCAGCAAATCAGGACAACAGCAAGCAAAAGAGAGGCACACGAGCCAAAAGGGTTGAAATCCGTAGCCTATCCTCCACCTTTCTGCCCAGCCAAGCCAATCCATGGCTGGAGTCCAGCATCATTTGTGAATGATTTGCCCAAACCAGGACTGGCTTCCCCGGGTAGGAAACCACTTCTCCCAGTTCCGATTGCATCTCACGCCTCCCTGGCCAGCCCCTTCTGCTCTCTGAACCCTTCCCTGCCTGAGGCCAATCCCTTACCCAATGGCACGCAGATGCCAGGAACCAGCCCAGGGAGGAAGAGGATCCCAGATGTGCCTTCAGGCACCTCTCACTGCATCCAGCAGAGCCAGGGAGATGGCAACAGCTTCTCCTGGAATACCTTACACCGAGGTACCCATGGGACACAGCAAACACCCGTGGCTCACACTGGGAACCAGACCAGCCTGGAATGAGTTCTCACCTGAGCTGCCTTTCATGGCAGAGCTCTCTGCATTTATGAGCACAAACCATGGGGTGTGAATCGACCGCTCCTGTTCAGTGGCTGAGGGTGCTCTTTTCGAGGGATGAATACCCCTGCTTCAGTGCTAGGTGAGTTCTGAGGCTTCCATCACAGGCTCAGAAGCCTCCAAGGGCCTAACACACTGTAGGTTTCAGCTGCGGTCCCCATGCCTGTGACTCAGTGTGAGCAGCACAATCGTCCCCACCACATCTCTTCCCTCTCCCTCATGCTCAGCCTCTCCCAGCTCCTCAGCAACGCTGGTCCCAGCCTGGCACAAAGGCACGAGAACCCCACACAGGGGTGACCCTGGTGAGCAGATGTCAGCACCCACAGGGTGCTCAGCACCCCTGGATTTTCACCAGTAACTGCTGATCCAAGACCACAGTGGGGCATCACTCACAGACTCCTCCAGCTCCTTTGTGCACTGAATCCGGACTGATCCACTGTTAGTGCTGTAAGTAAGAAAAGGCATTTAGCGTAACGAATACAAGTCACGCTTCAGTAGCAGCAGACAGGTAGGAGCAGGGCTGGGCAGGAAACCCTCATGAACTACTGCCAACAAAGGAGCCGAGCCTGCTGCCAGCTGCGGGCTGGCGTTTATGGCTGTGTCTTCTGCAGCACAAGGTGCTCCCCAGCTCTTGGGCTGGGTCTGCTGCAGCTGAAGCTGCTCATCTACCAGCGCTGCAGGTTTTGGATCTCTCAGCTTTTTCTGCATTGAAAAATACAGAGGGAATTGCGTGTGCAATACAGAAAACAGCTCCTTCCACTTCACAGGCTTCTAAAGCACTGCACACGCGGTGCAGGCAGCCCTGCTGCACCCGTGAGGATGTTCCCCTCCTCCAGGCACACCGGAGGCAAGCACATGGCAGGCGGTACCCCAGGCACCCCGTATCGCACCAGAACGCCCCGAGCCCCTGGCCAGCACACGGTGCCCAGCCAAGAGTTCCGGTGGGGCCACGAAGCCACCGGTGGCTGCGCTTTGCCTCCAGCCCGAGCCCTCCGTGCAGCAGCACGGGTCAGTGTGGTGCCTGCTGACAAATCCTACGCTTGCTCCAGCGGGGAAGTCCTGGGGCAGTCGGTACGTTCCTCGCCGTGAAAACCCAGGGATCGCAGGTCGACCCTGTCA